AAACCGAACTAGCTAGAACAGATTGCAAGATGTAGGCCGTGGGAGAATGACTCTGGTTCCTTTTCAGCCTAAAGCAATTACCCAGCTGTTGGAAAGTTGAAATATTGGACCAAATTATATTACCTAAGTTAAAATAAGCACTCCTGAGAATAGATCACTACATATATTAAGGTACGTGTATTAGGTAAGAGTTGACATTCCCATTTCTATATCTCATGAACCAGCCTTGGACTCTTCCCTGAAAATAAATTCGTTGTTAGTATCTTTTTGGCTATCTGTTTTTGTTAGTTAATATGTACACTACTAGCACATTTCCCAAGTTATTACCCTTTACGATTAGCACTTCCAAAAATCTTCCTGACAAAGCCGTCAATAGAAACAACTAAACACTTAAAAAGCAATAGGTGTCTTTTAGGTAACAACTATGGATTTTGACCAAAAGCTGACACTATGCATTTTAAAAAGTACACTATGCATTTTAAAAAGTCAGTGACTCACACGTGGTGTTATTTGATCCATATAGCAGCCCTCAAATTAAGTAGGACACATTGACAATGGAATCAGCAATAAATGACTTGCCCAAAGCCAAATAATTAGCAGGTGACAGAACAAGGGCTTGCACTCCGTGTTTTGTTTTTTACTTCTTATTTATTTATTTTTATTTGTTTGTTTATTTTTAAGTAGGCTCTCTGCCCAACTTGGGGCTTGAACTCATGACCACTCATGTCAAGGGTCACATGCTCTACTGACTGAGCCATCCAGGTACCCCTCTCCATGTTTTTCTATCCCAATTCCAGAGCCCTCTTTGTGGATGCAGAAATTAGATATAAACATAAGGAAAATTACAAGAGACAATTAGAATCACAATCAATCAATAGAATTTAAACTATATCACTTAAGACATAATCTACAAGACTGAAACTATTTATTGTGTTGTATTACACATTCATGTTTCATTGTTACCCTCTGGGCACTGGACTGGTAAAAAGATTTTTCATCTTAATTCATCAGTAAATAGTCACTGACCACTATTGTGCATGGGAACCCTGAGTTGGCTCTTTTTCTTTTTTTAGTAAAATTAACTTGTAGCATTGAGTGAGTGTCCCTTCATTCCAGCAAGTTAATGTTGAATTTTGCTCCACCTTCCCATTTCTCCTGGATAAGGAAGGGAAAACCTGAAGATGTGGTAAGACAATTCTCAGTCTGTTCTTCATGTCTCTGCTAAGAAGTTCCATTCTCCTGGGGCGCCTGGATGGCTCAGTTGGTTAAGTGACTGCCTTCAGCTCAGGTCATGATCCTGGAGTCCCTGGATTGAGTCCCACATCCAGGCTCCCTGCTTGGCAGAGAGTCTGCTTCTCCTGCGGACCTCTCTCTCTCTCTCTCTCTCTCTCTCTCTCAAATAAATGAATAAAATCTTTTAAAAAAAATTTTCATTCTCTCATTTATAAAATGGGTATCACTTAATGACTATCTACTATATTCTACATCCATTATCGGTAATCTCCACATCTCTGTAGCTTAGAGGGTATAGTTACCTTTATTTTTACGGATGTGGTTAGTATAGCATAGCAGTGAAACACTGAGATAGTAGCCTTGGATCAACAGCAGGTCCTTCAATCAAAAACTACCAGAGTTTGGGGCACCTGGGTGGCTCAGTGGGTTAAGCCTCCGCCTTCAGCTCAGGTCATGATCTCAAGGTCCTGGGATCGAGCCCCACATCGGGCTCTCTGCTTGGTGGGGAGCCTGCTTCCTCCCTTCTCTCTGCCTGCCTCTCTGCCTACTTGTGATCTCTCTCTCTGTGTCAAATAAATAAATAAAATCTTAAAAAAAAAAAAAAAACTACCAAAGTTTGAATCTGGCTCCATACAAACTAGTTTTCTGAACTTGGATCACTTATGCCATTTCTCTGTTCTCCTTTAAGCCCATCTCTAAAATGGGATAAATTACATGAACTTATTAGAGTTATATGAACTCACAATTAGGTTATTGTGAGTGTTAAATGAATTAACATCTGAAAACAGCTAATAGTACCAGGGCTTCTAGTGGTACTCAATGAACCTTAGCTACCATTTTTAATTTGGTGTACCCCAAGACTAAATCTGAGGGATTTTCTTCTCTTCTTTATATATCTGTTACTCCCTAGATGACCTCATTTAATCCTATGGTTTTAAATATAAAACTATACTGATGACTCCAGAATTCATATCTCCTGCCCAACTGATACTTTTGAAGTGTAAGTCAGCTCATGTCCCTTCTCCACTCAGAACCCTCCAGCGACTTCCTATCTCTCTCTCTGGAAAAGTCAAAGCCCTAGCCAGGGCCTACGAGGCCCTATGTCTCTGTCCTACTTTTGTAATCTGTCTCCTACCACTTTTCACTGTCTTTCTTTTCTTCAGCAATAACGTGACGTGTGCTTCTTGAACATTCCCTGACACTCTTGCTCCTCTTCGTGTATACTCTTCCCCAGTCAAGCGCTATATGCCTTCACTTGCTTCAGGGCCCTGCTCAAATACCATCTTAGCAGCGATGCCATCCCTAACCACCTAACAGAAAGGAGGATTCCCCTTTCCTTTTCTTCTTACCCTGCTTTATTTTTCACTGGGTATCTATCGCCATTATGCTTATTTTTCTATGGTCTGTTTTCCCCTCTAGTGTGTGAGCTCCATTAAAGTATGGACTTTGTTTTATTCACAGTCCCTAAAACAAGTGCCTGGCGCATGGCAGACACCCCATAAATATTTATTGCTTAAGTATAATTATGCTAATTGCCCAGCTAATGTCAAGAGTTTCATACCCAAGTCAGTTTCCCTTCAATATCTCTTGCTCTTTCTACCCCACTAACCAGCATCCCATGCCAGGGAAGACATAAACCCCATTGTAAGAGTACATCAATTCATAGGATTTTTTTATCTGAACTGGAGATCTTATGCACATTAGGGTTGATTTGCTATTCAGCATAATTTAGCAAATATTTACTGCACAAATATTCATGTGATCTTGGATAAGAAACACCAACCAACCCACTAATATAGGGTAGCAGTTTATTCAAGAATCTCAAAGCCCAGGAAAGCTAAATATTTGTATTTGTGGATCTCTAAGTTCAGAATTATTATGTACACCTAAAATTAATACCTTATACGTCAATTATACCTCAACTTTTTAAGGCCATTAAAAAATAAGAATTAATAGGTATCGCAATAGAACACCTGGTTATCTCTCAAACTTTCTTTCCCCATTTTCTCAATCTTTGACCCTCAATCAAGTCCACTTCTTTGCCTAAGCCAAATTTCTAGACATTTTCTTAGATTTCTCTTTACCTCACCTTACACGTCCAATCCTTGTGCAAAAACAATTAATTCTATCTATCAGATTTGCCCTGAGACCATCTGCTTCTCATCAACTTTACCTTTATAAATCCTAGTCCAAGGACAATTCCACTTAGCCTAGGCTACCAACAAAATTTCCTAAGTGCTTGGGGAACCTGGGTGGCTCGGTCAGTTAAGTGTCTGCCTTTAGGTCAGATCGTGGTCCTGGATCCCTGGATCCCTGGATCCCTGGGATGGAGCCCTGCATCCGGCTCAGTGTGTGGGCCCTGCTTCTGCCTCTCCCTCTCCCCTCCGCTTATTCACTCTCTCAAATAAATAAATAAAATAAAATAATTCCCTAAATGCTTGCCTTGCCCTTCTACTTTTTGCCTACCAACTGAGTGATCTTATAAAAACGTAAATTACTCATCATTCCCCTGCTTAAAGCTTCAGTGGTTTCCTTTTGTTATTCTTCTCTAAGTTATTCCACTTAGAAAAACATCCCAATCCTTTCCTAGCCTCCAAGCCCTGCTCCATTCTGACCTTCAGGACAGTCCAATCTTGTCTCCTAGCGTTTTCCCCTTATTCATGCACTCTCCATCACGCTGGCCTTCTTTCACATCTATGAGCACAACACGCCCTTCCCTTTCCCAAAATATGTGTACTAGCAGTTCCTTGTCATTTTGTTGCAGTTTGAATTTCACCCCCCTGGAGAGGCCTTCCCTGACTCCTGGATTTAAAGTGCCCCCTGCCCTGCCCCAGTTCACCTTTTGCTCTGCCAGAGAATGAATGGCATCCACTGATTGTGCACTGCACAGTTGCCATCTGGTATTTTCCTCCTCTGCTTACCACACCCATCTCCCTCCCATAGAATGTAAGCTCCATGAAGACAAGGACTTTGCTTTACCAGCAGGGTTTATAACAGGGCCTCACACATAGTGAGCACTCAAGAAACACTTGTTGAGTGGGTAAACCTTTGTCTCAACTTTGACAGCTTGTTTGACAGGATCACATAGTTTCCTAATACAGCGTTAGTAACTCTGCCCCATACATGTTCTCGGCATTGCCTCACCCTACAGAAAGGTCCATGATTCCAGAGGAGGGATTCAGATTCCCCCTCTTGGCAACCACTAGGTGAAGATCTAGACTCAGTTCAACAGTTAACCATCATCAGATTGGGGGGGGGGGGGAGAAAGAGAAATTAGTATTCCTGACATGAACCATTGTCATTTCTTACTAAAAATTTTGAGGAAGAAAAAAAAAACCCCACAATTCTTAAGATCAAACACTTTCAGAGTTGAAAATGTTAGAGAAAGTAGATGTGGACAGAAAAATGTTAGCCTGTGGGAGGAAAAGTCAGAAGGAGGTAAGAGAAAGAGCTCACACCATGCTGTTGAGTATCGTGGTTCTGGGCTTGGGTACCATGTCTTGCCTTGTACATAAACACTAAGGAAGGGCGTGATGGAGTGAGGTGGGTGGGGGCGAAAAAAGGGAGGAGTGGGAGACCTGGACGAGAGACGCGAAAAAAGCTAAAAAGAGAAGGACGGAGCGGAGCCACACAAAAGCGGCCTCGGATCTTGCCGGAGCTGCAAGCGTTAAGGGGAGGCGGGGAGTGACGCGGTTTGCGTCTGGAGCGGCTCCTTGGAGTCCACAGCATCCACCGCCGGAGCCTCGCCTTCCTTTCTCCCTCTGCAGACCTATCGAGACACAAAAAAAGAGGCGACCCCCGGACCAGCGCGAGGGACCCACCCGCACGATGACCGAGACCACCAAGACCCACGTAATCTTGCTTGCCTGCGGCAGCTTCAATCCCATCACCAAAGGGCACATTCAGATGTTCGGTGAGTCCTCCCGCCCACCCCCGGAGGCTGCTTCCGCCTCATTTCTTCCCCGGCACCTGTATTTTCCAGGGCGACAGAACAGTAAGGCGTGTGCCCCTCTGGAGGGATGCGCCGGCTCATCCCACTGGTGGGAGGTCAGCCCGTCTATTCCCGGCTCCTGGGAAGGGACGTTGACTGCGCTTCCCAGGCGTCACTTGCTCCGGCCAGACCCGGCTTGCTGGGGACCAAGGGGTGGGGGAGGGGACGGGCCCGAGGTGACTGTGGGTTTGGACCCGGTGGGAGGTCGAGATTCCAGAACTGGGTGCGGTGGTGTGGTAGTTTGGCCACTTGGCTGTTGCGGATCGGGGTGGGGTTAGAGGTTGGGTCGCGGAGAAGGCAAGAGGGGGTTGGAGATAACGTGCTGTTTGTTTAGGATGGGTGGAAAGCTCGAAGGAGTTAAATGATGTATATGCTTTGGAGGCACAAACACACTCACACACTAGCAGGGCTGGGGCTTCGAAGAGATTAATTTAGGGTTTGACTAATGGTTCAGGGCGGCCCAGGGGCGAACGTTTGAGGGTTGTGAACCGTGTATTGCCCGCGCGAGGTGATGGCTGAGTGAAGGGGCTGGGGGACTGGGCCAGCCTGGGCTTGGCTGCCGGGACCCGCTGCCGGGGAGGGGGAGGGGGCGGGGCGGCCGCTGCGGGCAGCCCTTTTCAAGCGAGTGTTGATGGATCCCGGCCCAAGTTGGCTGAGGCTCTGCCCAGGGCGGCGATGGCACCCGGAAGGCTTGCGGCGTGCGAGAGTGTGTATGAGTGTGAATATGTGAGTGTGTGAGTGTGTGTGTGTGTGTGTGCGCGCGCGCGCGAGTTGGGGCGGGGGGAGCGCGCATCACTGAGCGTTTGTTTCTTGGAGGCTTTGGGGCGTGGAGAGAAAGGGAGCGAGCGGTGGCTCCCGGCTGCTGGTTTGGGATTCAGCAGGGGCAACGGAAATGTGATCGATGCCTGTTGGAGATGTCGGGCCACCGGTGAACGCGGCTTCTCTGCTGCTCCGGTAGGACCCAACGGCACGGGGGCGTGCGCGTTTAGACACCGAGGGAGGGACGCGGAGGTCACTTTAGAAGCAGGCATAGAGTAGAGGTTGGAAGTTGGGGGTGCTTTTTTCCTGGCGCTGAAGGAAACGAGAAGAGGAGAGAGAGTGGACTGGAGAGGGATGAGAGAACGGGGAGGCCCTGCGCCAGCCGGCCGGCACGGCGCTATCCAGAGGCGGCGGTGCTGAAGCGCGGGGCGCGCCGGAGCTGGCTTTGGACACACGTGTTTACCCTGAGCCGGAGGATTGTGTGAGCCCTCCTAGGGCTGTTTAATGAAAGTCACATCATACCGGTAAAGACTGGGCGAGGTGGCTTTGACTAAAAATACTCTTCTGTTAAACCTAAAAGGTGCGTTGAACTGGGCCCGCTTATTAAAAACCTCATGAAAAGAATATCGAACTACTTTGAGCTGAGGGCAGATTCAGGTAGGCACTTTAATAGGATCCAAGGAGGGAGACTGAGAGGTAGCCATCCCTTCCTCACCATCCCTTTAACTTTTATAAAAGTGTCTTACTAGGAGCTAATGCTAGCCTACCTACTAAATAAAGACTTTTGTTTAAGCATGAGAATAGACCAGAGCATCTCATCATTCATCTAAGGGAATATCAGTGCCCTAGGAACACTATACTTTCACAGAGGTCTTTACCAGAGTCCTGCTTTTCTTCTCTGTCCATATTTCCTCTACCCATTTTATGTCGCTCTACTTTATTCCTCTCTGTTGACAAGGCAGGATTGGGCTTTCCTCTGGAACTCCTTGGCACTAGAAATCTTTAGTGAGCGGGGAGCTACTCCTTTTTTCCTCGGGCTAAAGTAGTTAATTCCACTTGTTTTGGATTGCAAAAAGGGGTGGATTTAAATCAAGAACTGAGGGGCACCTGGGTGGCTCAGTGGGTTAAAGCCTCTGCCTTTGGCTCAGGTCATGATCTCAGGATCCTGGGATGGAGCCCCCGCATCGGGCTCTCTGCTCAGCAGGGAGCCTGCTTCCTCCTCTCTCTCTGCCTGCCTCTGCTTACTTGTAATCTCTGTCTGTCAAATAAATAAATAAAATCTTTAAAAAAATTTTAAATCAAGAACTGAGGATTCTGTCTTGCAGCCGAAAAGAGTTTGCTAACAGTATAAAGGCTTTTGTTAAGTCGGTGTTGACCCACCAATTCCCCAGGAGTTTAGAGGGTAGAATATGTGGAAATAGTCATGGATTACAGCAAGCAGGTTTAGACATAGAACAGGTAGAAGAAGACTTTCTGACAGTTGTGACTATTTGCTTGGTATTGAACCTGAGGAATCAGAGAGACTATCTGTCCACAAAGCTTTATGATCGTCCATTACTTATGTGTAATCCAAAGAGCAACGTGGAAAGAGGATATGGGATGTTCAGGGTAGCTTTAAGGAGCTTATAACCTAATGAAGGATTTAGCACATATACATATGAAAAGGAAACAAGAACAAGAACACAAAATACATATTAAAACTATTCTTTGTAGAATCTCTTGTGAGAATTTGAGCTCATGATAAATTTTGTGATTTACTTCTGTAGTTTCTGGTTTGCAAAGTCTTTTCATTTCACTTACTCCTAATAAACAAGCTTACCCGAAAGGCATCATTATCTTCATTTTACAAATATGAAGCTGATGTTTGGAGGTGAAGTGACTTTCTTAAGAGGCTTAGGTGAAATGAAGAGTGGGTGGCAGCATGGAGACTTAAAGCCCACATTCTTGATTCCTCTTGCAGAGGCCTTTGCCCTGGACCAAATGCAGGAACAAGTGCTCACTGATCTGGCTGCATAATTCCATGAACTCCATTTCCTTCAAACATAAACTAACAGAGATTAGAATTAAATTGGTCATCAACTAAATGAGATTCCTAAATATGCATTTTAAGAGCTTTTTTCCATCTCTAACAAAATCAGTTGTCCATGAACTATTTTCTCCTTTTAAATGGCTTCTAAAATCTCCTCCACGACAGTACAGAAATAATTCGATAAAGTTATCAAGCTTTCTTTAAGGTCCCTGATATTTGTAACTGAATTTTTTTTTTAAAGACAGGAACAGGACTTTGAAATTAGACATCTTTAACAAAGTTCCTGTATTTTGAAATCCAACTGCTTACCAAAGAAAAAAGAGAAAGACTATAAACAAAAAGAAATGTGTTGTTCAAAACTAATAATTCGGGGCGCCTGGGTGGCTCAGTGGGTTAGGCCCCTGCCTTCAGCTCAGGTCATGATCTTAGAGTCCTGGGATCAAGCCCCATATCAGGCTCTCTGCTCAATGGGAAGCCTGCTTCCTCCTCTCTCTCCCTGTGATCTGCCTACTTGTGATCTCTCTCTCTCTCTGTCAAATAAATAAAAAAAAAATAATAAAAACTAATAATTCATTCTTCATCTCTGCAAAGTAATTCTTACACAGTTCTCAGTATTTGTAAAATATTTTAGAATGAGCTTTTCCTTTTACTTTGAGGAAAGGGAAGTTGATATTCCTAATTGTGGCTGTAGAAACACATAGAAAAATTTAATGTTTGTGATGGAGGTATTTGACACTTATATACTTAACTATAGCTAAAATGTTTTCAGGGATAAGTGAATATTTGGCAAAGTAAATTCATAAACTAGCAGTGTTTTATTTTGTGGGTCTGCCTTATTACATGAGACTAACAAGACACTAGAAGTCTTTTTTTTTTTCTAACTCACAAGATCTCTACATACTCAAGTATGTAGAGATTATATTTCAGTATAACTTTTTTTGCATTTATATTGCTATGTTTGTCAACAAATTCACCCCTGGGAAATAAGATAATAAGTTTAAATAGAAAAGTAAAAAAGGACTGATCAGATAAGTTTTGCCATGAAGGAATTGAAGGACTTGATCACAGCAGAAATGTATTCTGTTTTTTGATGATTGCAAAATAACAGGATTTTTCAGTTTCTCTACTTCAAAATATTTTTACTTTGAACAAATGGGTCTTTTGAAAAGAGATATGATCCAATTCTGTCCCTCTTCAAGGGTAATGAAGAGGGCTTTTAAATTTATTGTGGAATTTGAAATGCAGACCCTATTGCTACAACTAGAAATCATAAGAAAAATGAATTTGAGTTGCTACTGATATAAAGAACTGTCAGAAATCAAGAAACTGTTTAATATGCTTGAAATGCCTGTAGAAAAAGAACATTAAGCACAAAGTGGTACTTTATACTTTTGGCACCATTATTCTATTTGATCCTACCCTGCAAGTTGAACTGGATAATATCATCTCCCTTTTACAAATGACAAAGGAGAGGTACAGATGTAAGTCATTTGGTCAAGGTCATATGCAAAAGTCAAGATAAAACTAGTTTTCTAATATCTAGACTCTCTCTCACCCAGAATTCCTCTTTATTCCTTTAATTGCAACAAACTTATGAAAGGAAGAATCACCTGAACTTAGTTATTAACAAAGGGTAATGAAAACTTTGTGAATTTGTGTTCTTGGTAACACGGGCAACCAACGAAATATATTCAACAAAGGTATCTGTTCCCAACATCTTATACCTAACAAGGAAAAGCTATTTCTTAGTACTTAAATATTTCCCATATAATTGTGTTGCTGGAACATTTTTTTCTACCACTCCCCTAATTCCTCCTTCCTCCCCACTCTTCTGTTATCCCAACTAACATCTACTAATCCTTCAGATTTTAGCTTCAGTGGTACTTCCTCAGGGAACCTCCACTGACTTATAAATTAAGTATGGTTACCCTGACATGTGATCCCATACCAGCTTGTACTTTCCATGCCATAACTCTCATCTCATTATGCGCTTAATGACTGTTTTCCATGCTAGACCTTAAGCTCTGTTAGAACAGAAACCATGCCTGGTTTCATTATTGATTTATTTCCTAGTACCTAGCATGGAATAGGTTTTCTGTAATAGTATAATATAAATAACAATTGCAAGTAGCAA